TCTCGGACTGTAATTGACCTAAATGGAGAATATAATAGACTTCCCGCTACGTTCTTAACATTGTATCTACAAATCTCTCAACACTCATCAGAGAAGTTTCTCTTTGAAGTAAATGGTGATTTCTATAAAAAAAAAATAGTCATAACTGCTCAATATGCAAAGACTAAGAGACTAGATTATTTAACTCTAAATTGGACCTCTTTAAAACACCCCTCTCTTCAGCCCCCCAAAAAACCTGGGATCATCTTAGAAGAGGGTACACAAAGAAAGAAGACAACCAGGGGTTGATGCCTACAACAAAACCCTATGTTCTCCATAAAGGCTGAGACTGCATGCTTAAGACCTGCACAAAGTCAAGCCTTCTGAAATCCCAGAATGGATTGAGAAAGGTCTCATGAAGTCTCACCCCCACCGAGGAGCTACTGAGAGTTGATGGTTGCTACATGATGGAATTAGTTTTTTTTTTCGGGCATGTGGGAATGGAGAGACTATTTTTATTTCAGTAGATAGTATCACAGCCATGCATATACAGGCAGCATTAAGGGACTCAGTGGATTCAAACAAACAAATAAAAAAGAGCACATAAATTTAGGAGGAAAAAAATGAAGTTGATGGGTGTGAAATTAAAGAGGATAGAATAGGGGTAGATTTGACCCAAATACATTATATGCATATTTGAAATTATCGAAAATAAAAGAATCATATAAACCATTATACACCAGATATAAAATAAAAATATGTTAACATCAATAACTGTTTACACTTTAATTGATCTAAATGAAACCACTGAGACTGAGGGTATGTTTCATACTTATGTGTAAGTGAAACTGTACAAAAGAAACTATGTTTGATCCATAATCATAAACTTAATGATCAGTTTCTAATCATGACATATCTTCATATACACCAGTATATTTATCCTTACCCATATGTACACCCATTCATGTGCCGCACAGTGTTAAAGAATTATGTGCGTGTGTGTGTGTGTGTGTGTGTGTGTGTATGTATATGGTTCAAGTCTGGAAGAAATTATTAGGATGATAAAGGTATCTCCCTTTTGAGCAACATATCCCACTGTTTCAAAAGCCAACATGCCCCACAAGGCACTGTTGCTGCCTTCCAGGGCGCACCAGCAGCAAACCACTTTTTATGCTTATTATTTCCCTTCACGCTGGTACTAGATAGATATCTTGCAGCTAACCATAGTTACATTATATTAGGATGAAACTGTATGAAGACACAAAATTCTCTTATGCAGTCTAATTTAGAATCCATTTCACAAACTCTGTAGTGCCCTACCTAGGAGCTGGAATGAGCCAGGAATTGTAAATTTCTGCATATATGTATGCTATACTGAAATTTAGTTATTAACTTTGTAATGATAATTCCCTCTTTAGAGACAGATTGCTCTTATATTCTATTGTCTGAAGCAAAATGCATTTTTTTCTATCCTAGATTCCTAGGCTTACATTTAGTCCTATTCATTTTATAATGAAAATAAACTCATAATGAACAGTGAATCCAAAGCTCAAAATAAGAACATGATATCTGACTTACAGTTACAGCTAGTCTGAGCTTAATATTAATCGGTGAATGAAACTAAGAAGCACAGTAAAATGTATTGTGGTTTTCTTGATTTTTCAAAGGATCACACAATTATTTCAGTAAAGTTTCAGAATGATATTCAAATACAAAATCATCAATATCCACTAGTTTTTGGTTAACAGTGTAAAGACTTACCACTAACACTGCACACACTTAACATCACTAAAATGAAAGAGGACAAAGGGGGTGTCAGGTTTCCTACAGTTAAGTCTACTGTAAAAATTAAGATGTTATATGAGACTTAAGTTCAGTGTTATAGATTAAGCTACTGAACCAAGTCCACAAGCTAAATGCTTTAAAGCTGTTCATGGATATAGAGTAACTTGTCTGACTTTAATGGAACCATTCATAGTTGCTACCTGTGTCATATTAAGTGTACACAAATATTATGTACATATATATTTATTTAAACATATATATATATATATATATATATATAGAGAGAGAGAGAGAGAGAGAGAGAGAGAGAGAGAGAGAGAAAGAGAGAGAGAATGGCTTGGGTAAATTAAAGTTTCCCAAAGGTTGTTATTAATTTCTGAATAGATGCACTGCCAAGAGCAATCTGCTCATGATGAACAGGGCATATTTGGTTACCCTGGCCGCTACCATGGATGTAAGTCACCGGAAGCAAAAACAGAAGCTACACAGCAGCCCATTCATGCCCACTGGCTATTCATCCTTCTTTGCAAAGGATGCAGAGAAGCAAAACCAGACTTTTTGTCCTGCCAGATGAGGACATCTAAACAACTAACACCTATTTAAAAATGAATTAAGATCTACTAGCTGTAAAATACCTAGCAAGGCTTTTATTCTGAAGAAAACAGTTTAAAGGAAGAAAGAAAGAAAGATTATAAAAGCATAGAAAAACACAATACAAGCAAAACCCATAAAGCCACAAAGGTGAATAGATTGTGGGAGAGGTGAGCCTGTGATCTAAGAGTTAACCTGTCTGAGCTGTTCTACTTTCACTTACTTATCAAATATCTCTTATACATTTGATACATATTGTTCTATGCTTAAACAAATTTTAAAGTTCATACTGCTGAAGTAACCCCTAAACCATAAAAGGATGTGGCTTGGCGAGGCATCGCCTCATCAAAATCATGAAGAAGTTAGTTTGAGGGCTGTAAAACAAGAAAAATGTTCATATAAAGTCAGAAAATTGATTTTTTTTTTTTCAGTCTAACATGCTGCCTTGTGGATAAAAACCAACTGGATTGGAGAATCAGTAACTGAGAAACCTGTCTGCATATAACGACTGCTGCTCTGTGTACTGCAGGAGAACATTTCCACCTAGAGTCCTTTCCCAGAATATCTGGAGACCAAATGAAATCAAGCGTAATGACTACCAGAGCCAGATAATAATCAGTTTTTAATTGAAGCATCAAGCCAATTAATTTGTGACAACTTCCTATCAGTTCTTATTCTGAACATGAAGTTTCATAGGACCCAGGCCATTTTCAGCTCCAGAGCATACAGGAAGACCTATTTAGTCTTTCCTAAAATTCGTCTTTACTAGAGAGAAAACATTTTAAAGAGGGTGCCTCAAGACTTATTTGAGATTGCAAAGCAACATCACTTGTTTGAGTCAGTAAAATTGTATGAATCATAAGACATTTTAAACCTCAAGCACAGTTTTTACAATGAAAAAAAAATCTTTTGCTGTTAGATGTGTTTCAGAAAGACAACTGAACCCAAAATTTTAATTTACTTTAGTTAACAAAATAAATACATGCTTGGTGGATGTATGGGCAGATAGCTATATAGACTGGTAAATATTTTTTTTTTTCATGTCGTAAAATTTCTAAGGAGAATGTATTTTAAGAACTAACCATTATTTTTTCTGGGGACCTTGGTAAGATATTTATCCTTGTCTCCCCTAAAAAACTTCATATAAATGTTCCCCAGATGAAGGTGTGTAATATTCTGTATTATAAAGCATCAATACATTTTCTAACCCCCACTGACATTAAATTTCAACTGTTATATAAAAATTAACTTTCATAGTTAGAGTAATCAATACGTAAGTAATGGGTGCTTTTCACAAGAAGGATAAGCAAACCACTTCATCATCAATGGGCAGCTGCTCCACTTAAGAACTTTAAGGTGAAAACAACTGGCAGTCTTCCAACACATATATGCCGGCTTTCATCAAGAGCTGCTTTAGTGTTGTCTGCCTCACACTCCTGCTGCACTGAAAGTAATACAGACTAATAAAGATGGTGAGAGCACCCTGGGGGGGGGGGGGACTTCATTTTTTTAAAATGTTAACCATTGCTTCTCAAGTCAGAAAATTGTTTTTCTCATTTTCATCCAGTGGCCCAATATCTTGTAACTGCTGGGTCCTGGCTTTCATTCATTATTTCCTAGAACATACAATGATTCCCCCTCCCTCCCATTCTTTGAGTATTATTCCACAAAAGGGTTAATATCTCAAGAGGTGTAACAACTGCCCTTAGTGCTCTCTAAAATTGCATTAGAGTAGAAAATGACCACACGTGATGAGCAAAAACTCCACACAGCAGACCGGAAAATGCATTTCCAGTCTTCTGACAGAGATAGGGTAATCTCACCAAGTATGCACATTATCTTGAATATTTATTTACTTTTTGTGTGGCTTATGCACCACAATCAAACCTACCTAGTGCCCACCATGGCCAAGTCACTACTTAAAAGAGAGATTTGTTAGTGCTTTGAGCATCCTAGAAAAATGTCGGAGGCACTGCGAAACGTGGAGAATCCTGCTTCATCAAATAATCTGAATTCAGGCCATTTCCCAACAACCCCTGCCCCCACCTCCTCCAGAGCCTTAACTTCGCCTTCTTCCTCCCCATGATGTTCTGGCCTTGACTCCCTACTCATCTTTTCTCCCCCTCTCCAAGTCATTCAGCAGCTTTGCTCTGTTCTCAGAGTCAGTCCCTTGGACCAGGAGCTCAGTAAAATGCTGAATGGGGCGACTTCACCAGCAGGTGAGGAGAAAGGGAGAGGAAGAGCAGAGGGTGTGGTACTCTCCTCTTCTTCACCACACCCCATCCCCTGAATCTTGCACTCTGGTCCACTGCAGCTCAGAGGGGACCTAGCAGAGTGCCTGGCTGAGCTCCTAGCAATAGTGACAGTCAGCCACTCGGCACTCTCTGCCAACAAAATAACATTAAGAAGAAAATATATTACTATTTTTAATAAGCTTGCATTTAAAGGAAGCAAATGTCCAGAGTAGGAGGAGAAACCGGATTAGTTCGACTGTACAGTCCTCAGAACGCCACAGAGAAAGAAGGAAAAGCAGCACAGACCGGGACCTCACAGACTACCTCCCACCCTTCCCGGGCTGCCATCTGAGTATCAGCCTGAGAATTTCCCCAACTACCGGCTCCGTGGGAAGTGGAGAGAGGCTTTACCTCCTGGGGCTGCCCTCAGGGCGCTGACTACGGTCGCCTCCCCGAAGTCGCTCTGGCTCCCCGCACCGATTTCCAGAGCACAGCCTGCGTTGCGACTCGCGTCCGGGAGACGGGGCGACCGGCTGGGCGGTGCGAGGGGCCTCGGGCGCCCGACCCCCGCCCCGGCTGCGCTGACCCCCTCTGCCGCGCCGCCTCGGCCCGGCGGGCACGCTCGCTCTCGGAGCTGCCCCTCCGCCGCCCGGCGCCCCCACACCCACCCTCTCCGCCGCGCCCGCTGGGAGCCTCTAGTGGAGGCTAAGAGAACCGCAGCCGACCCGCGGCGCCCGGGCTCCGACGCCGGCTGCAGGGAGCGGACCGGGCGGCGGCTTCCACTTCCCGAGCCCTGCGTCTAGCCCGCCTGCCCCAGCCTCACCCACCACCCAGCCCACTGCCCCAGCCTCACCCACCACCCAGCCCACTGCCCCGACCGGGGCCCATAGCTCCCTATAGCAAAGATGGGAGGGGTGTGAGGAGCTAAAGAAAAAAAAACCTCTCCAGAATAGAAAATAAAAACAAAACGAGAGCCAAGCCCAGATGTAAATCAGCCTGGACAGAAGACCCAGTTCCAGATGTGATTCCCAATAGGTATCCTGAAGTGTGGGGATAGGACACTCCCTTTTGCCGCCTGGTCCTCAACCATCTGCACCTGCTGGTCTTCCACTCGCCAGCCCGGAGCCATTCGCGCGGGTTGTGCAGCTGCGTGGCAACAGCCGGGCATGGGGGGGGGGGGGTGTCCGCGTAACTTACCTTAACCCCCACCGCGTCCCCAGCATCTATTTCAAGTTGTTCTCTGTCTGGAGATTCAAGCAGCGGGCTTGCGGTCTCTTACCTTGACACGCTCTCCATGCCCCTTCCCTTCGCGTCCTTAAAATCCAAAGCCAAGGAGGATGAAGCGCGCCGGAGTCTGGGGGCTTCTTTCAGGCGTCCCCCTGCCTTAGCTCTGTCGGCTTTTCCTTGCAAAGGGGCCAGGGAGGGAGCGTCAGTTTTACAGCCTCGGCAGCCTAGGCGTCTCCAAACCCTCAAGCCTGTGGCCACGGAGACGGGGACAACCTTGGCCGCTGTGGAAACCTCCCCTGTCCTTTGCTCAGGCAACTTGGCTGCGGTTCCAGTTTTTCTTTCTTTCTTTCTTTTTTTTCTCCGTGTCCCCACAAATGCGCCCTGTAGCCAAGCTGGGTCCACTGTCAGGAGCCGGGGCTCCTCTCTGATTCTCGCCACCGCACCCCTCCCCCTGCTCCCGCCAAGTGGGCAGAAAACCAGCGCTCCGGCGCGTTCGACGCTGAGCAGGTGCTGGCAGCAGAGCCTCGCCAAGGGTCGCCCTCCACCGCGGCGTCCTGGCTCCAGCCGCTGCCCCTGGGCGTCTGCGCCCAGGAAACTTTGAGTCGAGGCCGCAGGGGCTGAGGGGCGGGTGGCGGGAGGCCCGGCGAGGCGGCGGAGGAGCTGAGAAGGAGGGACTCCGGCTGGCGGGCGGCGGGCTGCCGTGTCCCGGCGGCCGCACTCGGAACGCGGACTGCGCGCACACACGCCCGGCTCACACGCACCGCTCACAGGCTCACCCCCGCGCGCGCGCACCGACACGCACGCCCAGCCTCGCGATTGCGGCCCCAGGCCACCGGCAAGGCCAGGAGAGAGCCCTTGCTAGGGGTTCCCAGAATGGGAAGGACAGCGACATTGTCCCTCCTCTCCAGTAAAGGTCTGTTTTGCTACCTCAAGTCTGTTTTGCTACCTCCGGTGTCCCCGCCCTGTCTGGAGTCTGCACTTCCAGCTCTTCCCTGTGGTCAGCTCTTCTCCAGGTACTCAAAACCCAGAGATAGCCGGACTTGAGACCCATCACCTCCCTGCAGGGTCAGCGGCGCCCCTTCTTCAGTGGAGAATCGAAGTTCGTGCAGCACCCTACTTAGGAGCAAGGGGCTCCGTGGCATCCTTTGAACGGAAGAGACTGGACATCATTTCCTGAACAGAATCGCCTTGGGATATTCCCTCTTGCCCATTCCCTGCTGTAACTTTGTCTCAAAGAGCCCCCCGAAGTTTACTTAGGTGGTTTTGAAAAAGAAAAAAAAAAAAAAATGCGCAGGGCCTTGTGTTTGCCAGCCAGCTTTTGGATCAGAACATATTTCGGGTTCTGTGCTTTTATTGAAAACTGGATGGTAGCGAGTGAAAGACTCAGCTAGAGAAAGAAGAGGAACTAGAAGCTCGGAGATCCCGCCCATGTAGGTTTTTTTTTTTTTTTTTTCTGTACCGTATAAGTTGTGCTGTAGTTCCTATGACAATTTACTGTGACCTTAAGACAGGGATCCCCCTGGCTATTGCACAGCTGGGCCCACTAGACATAGTATATATAATCAGTGATGAAGTCAGAGACCAGTCACAAGACCCTGCTTAGAATCCATTTGCTGGAAGTGTGTCTTGCCTCGACTGGAGAGCAGGAAACCTTTGCTAACGGAAAAACGGAAAGTAAACTTTTGCCAGGACGGTTTCTTGCCTTATTTTAAGCCCTGACTCTTCTTCATACTCCAGGCACAAGTTCAGGAAAGCTTTACTGAGATTATTCCGCTTCCCAAATATTGGAAAGGCTGGATGCCTGCGGGTTCCTCGTCCAAACTCTTCGTGAAATCTCTGTGGAAAGAGACAGAAAACGACAAGTGATGCTACGTAGAGATGGCGCTAGGACCCTTTGCAGGAGGGACGCGCGCCACTCCCCAGCCATCTCCTCAAGAGCATCTTCTCTCAAGGGTAGATCCAGTGGTCACCAGTTGAGTTGGAAGCTGGCTGACTGATCGTGAGAAAATATAGTATTGGGGAGCTTGGAGAGGGGTATTGAAAGTAGTGGAAGGGAAGAGGATTTTGAGCAACAGAAGAAACTTAAGTTGGTAGGAGCTGAAACAACGCTATTCTTTGTCTGAGTAGCAAAGCATGCCAAGGTAAGCTTTAAGCAGCAGCCATGCAGAATCCAGGACCGAACTTCAGTGTGGAAGCATGGGTGCAGTCTGAGTTTCTTGAGTGAGTCAGCTTTGGATCCTCTGTGGGAAAACCAGGCAGAATCACTTCTCGAGATTCTTGCTGGGTTCGGGATGATGGATCCATTGACTCTACCTCCTGGAGTGAGTTACAGCACGCTGAATGCTCTGCAGCTCAAGGAGGAGCACTGCTTGTCTGAGTTCAGCACCAGCTCTCCTTTCTGTGCAGTGGAGGGGAGAGCTAGAGACTAGCCTGGGAAGCCAAGGTGAAGGAGGAGTGAATGCGGAGAAATGCTGAGCAATGAAGAGTTAAGAATGCAATTTATTCGGGTTTGAAATGCTAGGATGTGTTTTGGACATGGACATTTCTGCAGCGGTTCAAGTATGGAATATTAAGCTGGTTTTGAACTTGGTGCTATCTAAGCATTTTCTCCTGGTCATAAGGTTTGGTGCTTTTCTGAGCTGTAATTGTTCTCTTTCTTTAATAAGCGACTGCTGTGGATACAGAAGCTGAGCTGACGATTTTAATGAACCATTTCCAACAGATGCAATACTTTCATTGTATAGGCATTTCAATTAACAAAATTGGTTGTGTATTACAAAGATCAAATGAAACTCTTGGTCAAAGAAAATTTCAGTAGTTAAGCAGATTCCTCTCAGGAAAGGTTCTGGACTGGGACGTTCTTCCCGGCTGCTGTTGAAATGCAAACTGCTACTAATGCCTCTTTTAAAAACTAAAGTGAGTCATTTACATATACACTAAGTGGTTTGTTCCAAAGGTGCCTCATAGTGGCTGAGACTTCAAGGAAAGGAGTCTGGAGTCTGAGGTTCCAGGATTGTGAGAACTGATAATCAAATCCACAGTATTCTTGACAAACGTTTCAGCACCTGCAAGCAACTTGAAAAACTACATCTTTACTGCCTGGCTTCAGTAAACAGTCACCCCCTCCTGGGAAAATAAAACTTCTGCTATATCTTGGGTTGTTGAAAAAAGAAAATAAGCACACCTGTTGTTCTTTATGCACAATGAAAGAAAATAAAAGCTACACTTTTTCGCTTCCCTGTCGATTTTCTCATTTCACTTCAATGAGAAAAAGAACAAGAAAAGCCAACCTCTGGTTTAGGAGACTTACACCATTCCCTATATAACATGTTAAACATATAAACACCTATCTACAGAATTGAGAAAAAGAGTTGAAACTCAAAAGCATGGTCAGATTTGACAGCATTCAACTTCAGATTATAACTACTGCAACCGTCCAGGGTGTTTCTTCACTTTCTTTGAAAAGTGAAAGTGGTCTTCTGCATAGATGGCATCTTTATTATAACACAGCCTGACTTGTCATTTCTATTCTTCAAGATTATTGTAATTTCATAAGTGTTTATTCCCCCAGGAGCAAAGCATCTATCCTGGTTATTTATAGCTTTGTTATAGATTGAAGTACTAAGGTAACTTCCCTACCCCGTGGTGTAAAGGAAGGCAAGGATGGTGACCTGTGTTCCCTGATGCCTAGGGAGTAACCCCATAGAGAATAACTTGATACGTAGGGTGATCATGCCTTGACAAGCGACTGCTTTACCGTGTGGTTTGTGTGCATTAATTCAGTGAAGTTCTGTGTTCTCAGAGGACAGGGAAATTGATGCTTATGCAAATTTGACAAAGGTAACAAAGCTATTTTGTCATAAATAAGTAAACATGAAACCTATATTTATCTTATTAAGAAGCCTGCATTTTTAAGTACTTTGCTCAGTCCAATCATTCAAGAATAAATATGTTTAGTTATTTGGGGTTAAAAGGAGTGTACATAGTTAATGTAGAATAAAATAATATTATAATTTATAATAAGCTGCACTTTAGGCAATCTGCTTGAAATCTACTTGTGTACAGGAATATTGAAACAGCTTTTTTTCCTATTCTTATGCCTTTCATGGCATCATTCCCCTCAGATTAGTAACTGAGGAGTTGTAAATTGAAGAGATTAGGGCTCAAGCCACAATGGAGTTATAGGTACCTTTTCATTGTTTGTTTTTATTTTGTTACACATATGTGAAAATGTAGATAATTCCAATTTTCAGTTAGGTAAGTAAGTTACAGAAAT